AGTCAGTCCCGACCCCGAGACCATTCAGATGGATCCAAGTCGAAAAGGGATAGCCATGGGATGGATCCGAATGGAAGTGGTAGTACACAGGCGGTTTACCTGACGACGCTACGGAGACATCCCAGCATTGGAGCGCCGCTGACCCAGACGCCGAGGCCGAGGAGGAGCTCGGGAATCTCCTGGAGGTTTTCCCAACGATTGTCCTCGGCTGGCTGATGCTCGCGCGGTCTGGCCTCGACTCGCGTGAGCGCGCGGCGATCGTGACCGCGACGGGGGGCTCGCTGGGCGTCAAGCTGATTCGCGAGAAGCTGATCTCCAGCTGGGAGGGCGACGACTTGGCAGAGAGAGAGAGAGAGAGAGAGAGAGATGAACATTCTAAGTACCCGAGGGCATACGCGGCCCAGCTTGGAGAGGATGATCAGACATGGCTAGACGGTGCCGAGGGTGAACCAGATGCGGGAAGCTCCGCAGCTGATCGAGAACCTCCAGAGCCACTCGCGGAGGAGCCCGACCAGGGGGGGGGGCCAACGACGAGGACATCGAGGCGCACCTGGCCGCGCAGTACGAAGAGGCGGAGGCGCTGGCGGCGATCCACGCCGCCCAGCGCACCCTCCGCCAGGCCCGCGAGGCTCAGGCGGACAGCCCAGGCGCGCAGCCGCCTGAGCAGGGCCTTTTACCGTGGAGGACGACCTGATGGCAAGGGAGCTGGCCGTGGATTCCCAGCGGGATGACGTCGGCCGATGCCTCCCCAGCACGGCGCCAGGGGTCAGGTCTTGCCGCCGAACAAGGGGCAGAAGAAGCGCGCGAAGTGCGGCGGCGCTCACTGGGCGCAGGACAGCCGGGGTCGCCACGATCCCCGGCCCAAGTCGAGGACGGCGAGCCCGCCAGAGGCCAGCGCGAAGATGGCGAACTGCAGGAAGGAGCTGCGGTTCAACCTGGCGGCGTCGATGGTTGCTGAGCAGGAGTCTGGGGACTCGAGATGCGAGGTGATGTTCGCGGACCAGGCGATCCAGGAGGGCAAGGGGGTCGTTGACCTAGGCTGCGCGGACGCCATGGGCGGCGAGCGTGCGCTCGACATCCTGGCCCGCGAGAACATGGAGAGGTACGGCGACACGAGGCTGCGGGAGGTGAACCGGGACTACCAGCCGGTCTACAACTTCGGGAACGGCGAGAAGGAGCGCGCCGACGGCCAGGGGAAGTTCGGCATCGCTGGCGGGGGCATGGAGGGTGACATCTCCATCAACGGCTTCGCGACGGACGCCCCGATCCTCGCGTCCACGAAGGTGCTGGAGAAGCTTGGAGCCATCGTGGACTGCGACACGGGAGTAGCGGCGTTCGTGAAGCTGGCCCAGGGAGTTCCGATCCATGCTAGAGGAGTCACCGGACGGCGGGCACTACTACCTGAGCCTGGTGGACGACCTTCTCGAGCAGAAGGTCCAGGACCCAGCCAAGCTGCAGAATTTCAAGATGATCTGGAACCACCTCTCTAAGCGGAGCGCGGCGTGCGTGGCGGCGTGCTGGGGGTCAGACCTCAGCCCCGACGTTTGCGCAGAGCGAGTCGTGTCATGCATGGGTCGATCGTCATCTGTTTCTCTCGGCGACGTCGCCCCCAGCTCTCCCCAGGGCGGCTGTCGAGGCACGCGGGGAGAGCCCGGGCACGCCCGCAGCCGTTCAGTCTCGAGTCCGACGAGGCATTCCGCGTCTGACGCGAAAATTCACGCGCAGCGACCAGCAGCCCCTGATCCTCCAGATCCTACATATACCCGGCCAAGGGCCGTCGATGGCAGAGCGATGCGCTGGGGGGGCCTCCTCCGCGGGGCCGCGCCGCTGACCTGTGCCAGGGCGGTCTGCGGGCGCGGCTCGAGCGTGCAGAATGCCAGCGTCACGCAGTGCGGTGCGGGAACTCAACGCGGCGGAGGTATCGCAGCTACTTCAAAGAGTTTGGCCTGCCCTGCGGTCCGGCGTGGAGCGTGGGCGAGCTGAAGCAGGTCCTCAAGGAGAACATGTTCTCGAAGGCGGAGACGGCCGCTCAGATCGAGATGAGGGGCAACGATCCCACGAAGAAGGCCCAGCTGCTCCCGAAGGCGACGGAGGTCGGAGCTCACGCGACACCAGGGATGACCAACCCGTCGCTCATGCCCTCGATCCGCAAGGCGATTCCCCGGAAGCACCCGCCGGAGCCAACCGACTACATTGGCTTCGGGAAGTACGGCGCTCTGACGTGCCAGCAGGCCCTGAAGCAGTGCCCTTCCCACGCGGCATGGTGCCGGGCAGAAGGGGGCACGGGGGGCAGCTTGGAGCGGGCCAGGGTTGCTTCGTGGCTCAACGAGCAGGAGATTGTCCGCGCCAGGGAGGAAATGACCGGGGACCCCCGGGAGGCCCCGACGGGGCCGCAGAAGGCTCGAGGGGGCGCAAGGTCACTCCGCCGAAGGACAATGGACGTGATGATGGAGGACGAGCTCGAGGAGCAGGAGAGGCTGGAGGCCGCAGCCCAGGAGGAGAAGAACACGAACCAGTTCATCCAGCAGCAGATGCTGACCGCCCTGAGCCAGCTCAGCCAGCGACTGGGCAAGCTCGAGGGGCAGCCGAGCTCCACGAGCTCCAACGGCGAGAGCTTCGTTCCAGTGGGTTCCAGTCCGCGTGGTCTGGCCAGGGTTTGAACCGCGCGAAGGAGGTGGACCCCGGGAAGCAACGATGGCTGGCGAGGTGCATCAAGGAGAATGGCCACACGGAGGACCTCAACGCGCTGCTAGCCCATGGGGGGATCAAGCTCATGGAAGTGGTGCGCAGCCCCGCCTCCATCCTGAGCACCAAGATGGCGGAGAAGTTCGGAGAGGATGCAGCGCGGCGAGTCAGCGCATAGAATGGCCACAAAGTCGGGGCACCTGCCGGGAAGCAAGAGGCCAGGGAGGCTCGTGATGATGCTGAGCCGGACCACCTGTGGGTCAGCATGCGGCGTGGGCCACTGTCGAGCCTCGCCCTCGGCATCAACGGCACCAACCCTCTAAGGGCCGAGGCCGCCAGGAAGCGCAAGCTCCAGGCGATCAAGGAATACAAGGCCGCGGTGCAGCTGGTGCACGACCAGGTGGCGCAGGGGAAGCATGCGCACTGGGAGTGGCCCATCAAGTGCGAGGGCTGGGGCCACAGGACGATCAGGAAGATGATCGAGGACGGCTCGACGACGGTGGTCAAGGTCGCCGGGTGCCAGCTCGGAGCGAAGAACGAGATGGGTCAGCCCCTGCTCAAGGAGTGGCTGATCGCCACGACATCCTCGAAGATGGCGTCCAGGATGGCCTTGGCGCGCCCCGGGGCCACAAGCGCGGCGAGCTCACCGGAGGCAGCCTCGCGGCAGCCACAAACTACTACACGGACGAGTTCGCGAAGAGGGCAGTCCGGGCGATGATCGAGGAGGCCCACCCAGACTACCGCGAGTTCCTGAGGTGCCTGACGGGGCCCGAGGAGCAGGAGGGGCAGGCGCTAGCCGCTGGGAAAGAAGAGACCTCAACAGGGGCAGACACTAGTTCGAAGGAGCACCAGCAGATCATGCGTTGGCTGGCCTCCGCACACCGAGGGTCAGGCCACAACTCCAAGACCCTTATGCTGAACGCGCCCAGGCGGAAGGGGGCAAGCCAACCGGCGCTGCAGGTGGCTCAGGGCTTTCACTGTGACGCGCGCGAGGAGGCGAGGCAGCACCGCCCCGCGCACCCGCCGGTCAGCCACGAGGTCGCCCCCCCAAAGTGGAAGCACGTCCAGGCCGACCAGTTCGAGTGGGAGCACCCCCACAAGAAGATCAAGTCAAAGTTCTCGCCCCTCATCAACGAGAACTGCAGGGTGCGGGTCAGCGAGCTGCTCTACCACATGGCGGGCGAGGACCGGCACCGCAACCCAGTCTGGGCCGACCTCATGGATTTCTACGAGGAGCGCTGGCTGCCATATTTTGGGAAACCGCAGAAGGTGAAGGTGGACCCTGAGGGCTCGTGGATGTCTGGATGTCCAAGCCAGCTGCTGACGACTTCGACTCCGACTCCATCGGATGCGAGCCGATCCCAGGGCAAGCCCACTGCCGCATCTCCCTTGCAGGAGAGGCGATCCAAACCACAAGAGGGACCATGGGCCGGCTAGTCGCGGAGAGCCTCGAGATGTCCACCGAGGAAGCCCTGGCCAGGGCAGTCGCAGCCGGGAGCGCTCGAGAAAGTGTTCGAGAAACCTCCCCTCTTCAGCGCGGCCTAGGAAGGGCACCTGACTTGGACGGCCATGTCTTCGAGAGCGACTTCGGCGAGCTGCCCTGCGTCGAGGCCCAGCGCGTCGAAAAAGAGCACGGCGAGAACTACGCCAGGATGTGCGCGGCGGAGCAGGAGTACCTGAGCCAGGTCTACATGCGGCGCATCAGCCGTGCCGAGAACGCGAAGAACCAGACGCTCAAGTCCGCGGCGCCAGGCATGTGGGTGCGCTACTTCCGCAAGGAGAAGGGCGAGACCAAGGGCCGATTCAAGGGGCTCGCGAGGGTGCTGGCCACAGAGACAGCGCGCCCCATGGACGGCGACCTGGACAGAGCGAGGCACTGCGCCCGGGGCGGCCTGGTTCAGTGGTCTGGCTGGTCCGGGCAGGGCGGATCATCCAGGTGTACTTCTGTCAAATCCGAGCCGCCCCCGCCCGAGAGATAGCGCGCGCCGAGCTCATGGGAGGCCGGGCCCCCCCCCTGGACTATGAACGCCTTCAGAACCAGGCGATGCGGCAGGAGTACCTGGACTTCACAGGGCACGATCCCACAGAGCACGACGTAGAGTTCTCGACCTGATCCAGCACCACCTTTGAAGAAGACTCGCACGACAGAGCTAGCCGAAGACACGGGTCCCCAGGTGACCCCAAGGGATCAGCCTGCCTCCCCCGCGCGGAAGCAGATCCACAAGAAGGGGCTGCACCCTGGAGGCTCTGCAGACTGGGCCAGGACATCCAGGGCAGCCATTGCCGAGAAGAGCTTGGAGGAGCAGGCGGCGCTCATGGCCAAGGCGACCCCTGACGCCCGTGCTTTCTGGGCACGACAAGGGACGCCCCTGGAAGTCTCGATGGAGCCCCCCCTCGCTGGCAAGGTCTCGAGGCAGGCCACCAGGCACATGAGCACCTACATGGCGAGCCAGTTGAGGAATGGGAAGCGCGAGATCTCCGAGCGGACCCTCAACCCAGACGAGCTGGACAGATTCAACAAGGCGAAGGCCACCGAAGTGAACAACTACATCAGATGCTCGGCCCTCGAGACCCTGCCTCCCGGAGCCACGCCGCCACCCGAGGAGGTCATGCGTATGAGGTGGGTCCTGGAGTGGAAGATCGACGAGAGCACTGGCGACAAGAAGGCAAAAGCGAGGATCGTGGTCTTGGGCTACATGGACCCCGAGTGCGAGCATCGCCCGACCACAGCTCCAAAGATGACGCGTGCTTCCAGACACCTGCTGCTGCAGATGATGTCGTGGTTTGGCTTCAAAGGGTACAAGGCGGACAGGACTGGAGCTTTCACCGGGAACCGCGAGATTCAGCACAACCTGCTTGCGATGCCAGTGAAGGAGTTGGCCACGGCGCTTGGATTGCCCGAGGGTGTCGCCATGAGGGTCTGGAAGGCCGTGCACGGGCTCGTCGAGGCAGCCATTGAATGGTTTATGACGGTGAGCGAGGCCCTTACGGAGTTCGGCTGGACCCACATGAACATGGACCCGTGCGTCTGGGTGCTATACGGCGACGCGCACGGCCGGGACAACAGCTTCACCAAAGAGGCGCTGCAGGAGTTCATTGACCCAGAGCTGCTCGACGAGCTGGTCGCAGCGAAAGGCGACCTTGACACCGTGGCGGTCGCCGGGTCGCACGTAGACGATGTCTTGCTGGGCGGCAGGGAATCTGATCCGCGATGGGCCAGGGCTGGAGAGCAGATTCGAGGGCGTTTCACATGGAAGACATGGGAGACGGAGGAGTTCATGCAGACCGGAGTGAGGATCAAGCAGCAGCCCGACAGGAGCTTCCGCATGGACCACAGGGAATATGTGAAGACCATAGAGAAGGCCTTCCTAACTCCCGAGCGCAAGAAGAACAAGGAAGCAGAGACCACTGACCAGGAGAAGGGCCAGCTCAGGGCGACCCTGGGCGCCGTCGGCTGGCGCTCGGAGCAGACTGGCCCAATGCATTCCGCTTGCGCAAGCCTGCTGCTCAGCACCATTCCCTCGTCCACGGTGCAGACAATCAACGAGACGAACAAGCTGGTCGACCGAGTGCGAGAGTGTGCTGACCTGCCGTTGGGTTTGTGATCCATAGCCACTCACAGGCCCAGGTGCTGGTGCCGATTGAGTGGTCCGACTCGTCCGAGTCGAACCGGCCCGACGGGAAGTCCACCAAGGGCCTGGTCGCAAGCATGGCCCCTCTGAAGATCCTCAAGGGTGACGAGACCGACGTGAGCCTGGTGTCTTGGAAGTCGGGGAAGATCGACCTAGGATGTCGCAGCTCCGTCGCCTGTGAGACTCGATCCGCGGTGGATGCGGAGGACGAGCTGTTCGGTATCAAGTTGCAGTGGCTCGAGATGCTAGGCAACACCATCGACTGGCGCAACCCGGAGGACACACTTGCCAAGCTGCCAGGGGCCGTCGTGGTGGATGCCAAGGGCCTGTACGACAAGCTCCACACCACAGTCTACACCTTCCGTGGTAAGGAGAAGGGGATTGACGTCGAGGCGATGACACTGAAGGAGGGGACCCAGGCCGCCAACAACTGGATGCTCTGGGTCCACGGTGATGCCCAGCTAGCAAACTCCCTGACCAAGGGGCACGAGCCAGGACAGCTAAGGATGTACTTCAGCAGCGGCTATCGCTGGAAGCTGGTCTACGACGCCAAGTACCAGAGTGTACGCAAACGGAAGGCAGCAGGGGTCCTTCCATTCGAAAATGTTCCACAGGAGGTCGTGAGGAGCTCAGAGTCATCGAGGGAGCCAGCCTCTGGAGCAGATAATCAGGAGTTTCCGGAGTACGAGGCCATCTCGAGCGATGAGTCAGATGAAGATAACATGCTCAGCTTGGAGGACCCTTATCCGTGCAGATCTGGTTCGGAGCAAGCCTGAGCATGGAGATGAGAGATTCTAAGATGAGTGAGTGAGGTACATTGTAGGGCCAATCCGTATGTGTGCTGCTGCCCTTTTTGGCCCAAGTGCCCCCTCGCTTGCGCTCAGAGGCGCGGATAGACATGGAAGCTCGACGAGTCGAGCTCGAGCTTGAGGAGTTCAAGGAAAAGAGCTAGAAGAAGATACCACTGCGTAATTCCGTATACCACTTGCAAAGACGGCCCAAAAGGCCTCGAAGACGCCCAAGATGGCCTCTAAGACGGCCCTGGAGCACCCCAAGAGAGCCCCAAATTGCCCCAGAAAGGCCCCCGAAACCGCTTCCGACGGCGTCAGACGGGCCGGCAGCCCACCAAGATGGCCGAAGGTGGCTCGCAGCTGGCCCAAGACGGCCCAAAAGCCTCCAAAAGGGCCTCCAGGAAGGCCAGAAAATTGAGAAAAGAGTGATTATCCGACGGTGTTTGAAGGATTTTGTGACATTTGCTTCGTTTCGGCCTTCCGACGGCCCGATGCGGCCCGAGAGCTCCCAAAGATCGCCCAAGGATCGCCCAAGAGGCCTCCAAGATGGCCCCAGAACGGCCCAAGAGGCGCCCAAGACGGCCCCGACAGGCCCCCAAGACGGCCCAAGAGGCCTCCAAAACGCTCAAGATGGTCTCCAAGACGGCCCACGAGCCCTCCAAGACGTCCTCCAAGAAGGCCCGAAAGAGTCAAAATGGCCTCCAGGCGGCCAAGATGGCCTTCAAGATGCCCACGTATTCCCCAAAGGCTTTCCAAACCGATTCGGGGAACACATGGTCCGATAGCTTGGCAGGTCTGGCCTCAACGTTCGGCCACATAGGCGTTTCCACAAAGGCAGGGGGCGGCGGTGATTCGCCGTAGGCGTCTTCGATAACCATAATCATGATGATAGTGATAACACTGCTACTCATGAGAAGAAGAGATCAACTACGATTGGTACTTTGCCTTGTGGATAATAAAAATCGGCCTCGCCGCCCCCCACCTCCGACCCAAAATGTCTTGGCCGGAGATAGCCAGCACAGGGGACTTACGGGGGTGGGGTATATCCGGGGCGCCAAAATATCGCCCCAAAACGCCCCAAAACGTCCCAAGAGGCCCTCAAGAGGTCGGCTAGATGGCCCAAGAGAGCCCCAAGACGGCCCAGGAGGCCTCCCAAAACGGTTACATTAATCTTGAAGACGGGCCGAAAACGCCCAAAGAGGGACCCACGACTGCCCAGAGATGGCCCCAAGACAGCCTCCGAAGGCCAAGAGGTCCCCTGGAGGCCCGCAGAGTCCCACACGAAACCCCCAAGAGGCCTCAGGAAGCACAAGAGGCCCATCAGAGGTCCTCAAGAGACCCCCAGGAAGCCCCCAGGCGGTCTAAAGAGCTCCTTAAGAGCCATCCTCCTCGTCAGTCATCCCCCTCCTCCTCCTTCTCTCCTCCCCCTCCTCCTCCTCCTCCTCCTCCTCCTCTTCCTCATCCAAGTGTCCCCCCAAGGGGCTCCACGACTGCTGGGGGAGTACATAGTCCAACAGCTTGGCCAGTCTTCGGCCCAAAGTTTGGCCGCGTGGGCGTTTCCAAGAGGCAGGTGGCGGCGGTGATTCGCCATCGTGGGCGGCTCCGATCAGCCACCACATCTTGCCTGCAGGAGGACTGCTTGACGTGCGAGGCGATAACTGTTGGAACCCTTCAAACAAATTCTCGGTGGGGTCTCGGCCGATCCCGCCAGCCACCCGGAAAAAACGGATAGTTGACAGGTAAGGACTTTCACCAAACAGATGGCCCCAAGATCCCAACAGGCGCAGCCCCCCCTCCCTCCTTCAACTCGTTCTCGTTCTCCTCCCTCATCCCCCTCCTCCTCCCACGTCGTCATCGTTGCCTCCTCTACCCGACCTTCCCTGTCACACCTCCCGGCAAGAGGGCCCCTGAAGGACCCCCACAAAGGCCCCACGACGCAAGCAACATTGATTTAACTCGTGTGTCCCAAGATGGACCCACGACGGCCAAAGAAGGCCCAAAGAGGGTCCCAAGACAGCCCACGGGGCCCCGATGAGGATACACGAATTGATATTTCGAGACCTCTGCCCTAAACATGATCCCCGACACCACCAGCAAGCCCCCAAGAGGCACCCGAAGGCCCCCAAGAGGCTCCCGAGCCCTTCGCAATCGCAAGGCCTCCGAGAGATCCCCCCAAGAAACCCGTATGTACTTTCAAAGGGCCTCTAGCCTACGACACAATCACGGTGGCAGTATGGGCGAAGGACATTAGATAGAAGTGGGGCGCCTCAAGTAGACCGGAATATGGGGATCCAAAAATGCTTACTTTCAGCTAGCGACGGGTAATTGTGGGGACTTCGCGACATGCCCCAACATCTCCCCTTTCAGAGAATCTCTGCGGCAAGGGGCGGTTCCGCAGGGGGGCCCAGCACCGATCCTCCTCCTCCTCCTCCTCCTCCTCCTCCACCTCCACCACCTCCACCTCCACCATCTTCTCCTCCTCCTGCGATCTGATGGCACCTCCTCCTCCTCCGCCTCCTCCGCCCTCCTCATTGAGGAAGCGGCGAACAGTACGCACGCCCCGCCGCCTCGTACCAGCGGCCGTAATGCATGGTGCCGCGCTCCATCTGCCTGCGCCGCGGGCGCCGCCCCGCGTGGGGAGGGGGGGGGGGCAAGACGAAACCTCACTTCGCGGGCGGTGTGCTCTGGCCGGGCCCACCCTTCGAGGGAGGCCCAGTCGATACAACTGCGGCCCTCCCCCGCGATTTTCGTCACTCTTGGGTCTCCTGGAGGCTTCTGATCGCCACGGCTGGATCCACCTCGAGAAACGTGTCAGGAATGACCTCGACAGCGGTCTGGAGACCACCAACTTTGAGCGGATTCGGGCGCGGCGGGAGAGCCACATTTGCATCAACTGGCCCTCCTCTGACGTCCGCCTCTGAAGAAGCCCGCCGCAGGCGCCAAATTTTTACAAATTATACAGCGAGCCCGCCGCAGGCACCGATTTGTTCGTTAGAATAATGTGCGTGGGTCGCGCGGTGGGTCGCGGGTGGGTCGCAGGCCAGGTCGCAAGTGGGTCGCGGGCCCGGTCGCGGGTGGGTCCGGGGTGGGTCGCGGGCCGGGTCGCGGGTGGATCCCGTGGATCCCGGGTGGGTCGCGGGCCCGGTCGCGGGTGGGTCCCGGTTGGGTCGCGGGCTGGGTCGCGGGGGGGACGACGACGAAGAAACAACAAAGAACAGACAACAAGAAACAACAAGACAACACACACCAAACAACAACCAACAACCAACAAATAACAACAACCAAAACCAACAATAACAACAACAGCAGCAACAGCAACAGCGGAAACACCAACAGCAACAATTACAACCACCAACAACCAACAACCACCAACCACCACAACAACAACAATAACAACAGACAACACCAACACCAACAACAGCAAAAAACATCGTAAACAAACACAAACAACAACAGCAGCAACAACAGCAACAGTCTGCACCGCAGAACCTCACTTCAGCCACGCGCCCATGGAGAGTGAACGACCGTTCGGCCTCCTCACTCTGATATCTATATGTATATATACACATACACACAGAGTAAACACATGGTTATCCATACATTATACATATGGTCATGCATGCATCTCGGTGTGAAGAGAAATGCCCGTATCTACATATGATTACATGTGTACATCTATCCACTGGGAGTGCGCGTGCCCTCAGGTCCTTTGCAACGTCCCTGGGGCCTCAGCCCTTATTCCAAAGGAATCTTAAGAAGCTGGGACTCCAAATTCCGTAATTTGGCGGGGCTCCTGGCGTGCCCCCTGGGCTCCCCCGCGTGGTGGCGCGTGACTGTTTCGGGCCCAAGATGGGGCCCAAGACGGGCCAAGCCGCAAAAGACCCCCAAGACGGTTCACGACGGACCGGGGTCGCAGACAGATCGTTCCAAGACGCCCGAGATGGCCTCAACATGGCACAAGAGGTCTCCAAGACGCCCAAATAGGCCTTCAACAAGCCTCACAAGAGGACCGCAAAAGGCAAACGTCATGGAATGGCCTTAGGTGTTTTGAAGGTTTTTGGCGTTCGCGCCTTTTCGGCTTCCCGACGCTCCAAGACTGCCCAAGAGGCCACTGAGACCGCCCCAAGACGGTCCAAGAGGGCCCCAAAGAGGCCCAAAAGGGCCCAAGAGAGGGAACACGGACCGAAAAATCAAGCTTCCCGCCCAAGCCCCCAGTAGGCCCCAAGAGGCGCCCAGGATGCCCCAGAAGGCCCCGAAGGAGCCCCCAAGAGGCCTAAAGAGGCCCCCAAGAGGCCTAGACGAGGCCCCAAGACGGCCCCCAAGAGGCCTCTAAACTGCCTCCAAGAGGTCCCCAGGAAGCCTCCCACGATATCCCAACGAACATCCAATAGGCTTCACACCCGCAACCCGGGCACGGTGGGGGGATGTGCTGAAGCCTATACATATACAGATGCATATACATTTACTCTTATAGTATACATGTACACTTATATATCTATTCTCATACGCACCTCTCCGAGGGAGTAGAGCTCAGAGGCGATTAATGCGCACGCGTCCGCGATTTTTCTGGGCGTTTCGCTCGGGACATCCTCGAAATTCTGAAAATCGGTGGCACCCCTCACGCAGGTCGCGACGTCAGGGTCCAAAAACACATGGGAAGTTCAACATGTTAACATAAAACCTTCAAAAACACATGGTAATTTCAATAATTGTGACCCCGATTCTCAGTGAATGGCGGTTTCGCTTGAAAAATCCTTCCAAAATCGAGCCCCAGACCCCGCCTCGGAGCCTCCTGGCGGCCTCCTGGAACCTCCTGGGGCCTCCTGGGCCTTCTGAACCTTCTGGCACCCCAGACCCCGCCTCGGAGCCTCCTGGGGGTGTCCTGAAACCTCCTGGGGCCTCCTGGGGCCTCCTGCGGCCTCCTGGAGCCTCTTGGGGCCTCCTGAAGCCTCCTGGGGTCTCCTGGGGCCTCCTGAGGCCGCCTG